CATACAATCTTCTAACGACTTCTAACAACGTGCAAGTAAATACCTTCATATTTTTAGATTAATGTTCTATCTGATCTACTGTTAATTACACTGTAAAGCGTAGTCTGATGACAGTAGAGAAGCAAATTTTCATTCGTATACAGTGATCAGCATATACATATGTATCTGGAGAATTAGGTATGAACGATTTAAAAAAATTAACTCTCTCAATTTCTGTACCGTCCAAACTATTAAAATGTGGCCCCCATTTGCTATACTTGCAACTTTTTCGCGATTCAATTTGTTTCCCAGTTCTTCAATAATCATTTCACTTTTTGTTTGACTATTTGCTTCTTCAACAGTGGATTATCGCATCATTAGTGCTCTTCGTATTCGTTTAATAAATGTTCTGAAATATTTACTTGAAATATAAAGACGTCCTTTCAACCTCAAGCAACTGGGAAAACCACTTAGAGGCAATCCATTTACGTGTCATTGCCAAGTTCTATCTTAGATAATATGCTGTCTCGCAAAAGAAGCACTATAAATCATTATGAAGCATTGCAGATTATACTGGAGTTGATTTTCCCAATCGGATGCAAAGTTTTCCAGCACATTTTTCCCGTCATTTCTTCGAAATACTTCTGATCTGAATGCATCTATTTGCAAACTATTAAGGCGCATTTCAACGTGTGAATTGAAAACTCTTTGTTAAAATCTGTAGAGCTCCATGGAGACAGTCTCGAAGGAAAGTTAAGCCTTAAGATCTAATTATACTTGTCTGTATTGTTTAAAGTTTCAGTCAGTTTAACGGGAAACTTCAAGATTGCAAATTTCATTAAGCCAGTTAAAAGGAATGGACTTATAGAGCGCTCAACGTTAACATTTTATAAAATGCAGCTTCTGACTAGAAATAAATGTGTGACTTCATTTGGACAACCACAATTCTGTTGAATAAGAAAGCTGGGGAAAAGACAACAGAATATTTGTTGCTTTCAAACATTGTCAATGCAGTTATAGTGAGGCAACTATGAAAATGACTTGAGGGCGTTCACGAAAGTTTATTACCGATAAGTTTTCTGCAAACATCCACTGAACGCCAAATAAACTGATAAAAACCAAGAGAGTTTTCAGCTTTTTCAAGTGATTGCTAAATCCTGCTGTTTTATGCAATTTTGGGGCAGTCGCTCAGGGTTGCATTTTAATTTATCTTTAGAAAAACTGTGCTTTCACTCTCAAGCGAACAATCAAACCGGTGAATTTTTATTCAAATTTTGTCGTTTTTGTGCCCGAGTAGTTTTTCGCTTATCGCAGGGCAGTAGGGAAAAGCCACGAAAGCAAGCAGTTGATTCCCTTTTATTTCATTTAAACAGCCGTAGGCAAAAAATATGTTCTGAATTTTAGAACATTAGATTGTCTTCAGTGTTCTTTAATTTTTAGATTTTGTTGATTATAATTTAATTCAAAAGAAATTCCTGGGTTCCCGTCAATTTTATTGTTTATTATTTAATGTTATAAATACGTTTCGGTGTTTTTCTCCACCATCATCAGTTTGTATGTATTTCCATTTCCATCGAATGGCTTGCCAAATGTGAAGGTAGAAACAACCATACATACAAACTGATGATAGTGGAGAAAAACACCGAAACGTATTTGTAACATTAAATAATAAACAATAAAATTGACTGGAACCCAGGAATTTCTTTTGAATTAAGTTGAAATACCGTCAGGAAAAAAAATATGCACAGTTTATTATAATATAAGGCTCGTTTAGACTTTTAGGTTTCATCAGACTCTACATTTAGCTGTTCATTTTTTTCTGGATTGATGCTTAACCTTCAACTCTAATTAACAACAGCAATATTCAGAATAATGAATTTTTAATTAATTGACTGTTTTCAGATATGGCCTTCATGTAACTGAACAGATTATTCGTTCTTAAAACATCCCCATCGGCAAAATATGCGATGTCACGTTTAGGGGTTTAAACATAACGAATTGTGTACGGAGACTCCCCTGTTTTCGCCTTTTTTCACAAAATGAGACCTAAAGATGTAAAACAAGCGCAGATATTCCCAACAGCCAAATTGGGCACGAGTTGAGTGAAGAGTATAATTTTTGATCTTCTACCAATTTTTCTTAACATGTAAGACGTGAAAAAATCCGCTGTATTTTTTATCTTTATTTCATATTTTTTCTTAATYTAAAATGAACACTTCAAACGTCGAAGAAACTTTGATTTTCCCGATGATTAAGAAAATTTCCTCATGCGTTTTTCATCCAAGTGTGTTGATGCCAAGTACCTAAAAAATGGCCTTCAAGGGCAATTGTTCTCCGAAAATTCGTAAAAGTGTGTTTTTTGGATTCATATACATTTGAATCTTGTTCTAAGAAAATCTGCTGTACCTTGAATAATCTTGTTTAAGTGACACTTTAAGTGTGTAGGTGCGAGAAACCACTTTGGAATATACTTGGAGAGTTAAGAAGGAGACTGTCAAGATTTATTTTAAAGGACAAAAAAAAATTCAAAAAGCAGAAATTAATATTTAACTTTTCCTGTTTTTGTCCCTTTTTAATGGGTTTTCCAGTAATGCTCGACCATCACGCGCTTTCCTAAAAATTCTGCAAATCCAATTATAGTCACCCTTTCGGTCATGGTTAGTGTATTTGAACAGGAAAAGATACTCAGAATAAACATTGCGTTTTTCTATTACGAGCTCATCTATCATAAGCAGTCCACTCGTCCCTTTAGAGAGAAAATTAAACTTTTGGTACAACCCTAAATATACCATTCGTCTTAATATATAACACGCTCTAGCCGAAAACAGGCATTACACAAATAATTTGCGATAATTTTTCGGATTTCCAGCGATTAATGGACCTGCAACGGTTTATTGGCCTAAAAAAACCTGCTGTGCTTCAGTGATGTCCAAAATAATATTTATTCGAATAAAATATAATATAATTAAATAATTTCCACGTAGTTGCATGTAGGACAGGCGTGATTCTGCTTGGCACATTAACCATATAAATTATGTTCAACAAAATGATT